TCTTTAACAAGTTACTGTGGTACAATCGGTTTAAAACACTCATACAACATTCTATGTTTAATTTCATAATGGACATATGGAACCGGCTGTGTTGGCGACTGTACACGAATTACTTCCACCACACTTATTTGAAAGCAGTCCAAGTGCTCTTTACATTAGCGTCCTAATATACGGCATTGTGCCTTACGCAGTGCGCATTAAAAGCTGATTTGCCGTTATTTGTGTAAAGAGTAACTTGCGATCCTTGCAAACTTCTCTCTGGCTTCCCCTTGGCAAATTAATTGTATCTATTTCACTGTTTCCGAAACTGTACGTATCTAATGACACCTCGAACGAATGCTTGCCTGGTTGGTTTTGTTCCGTGGTTATGGAGCTGAATTTGAAGTGGTTACGTTCTAAACTGCTATGTTATTTGTTAACAAATCTAACTTCGAATTCTGCTCCCACTATATGTGCATACTTCATATAAACTATATGTACTATGTTTACCAGACCAACAAAGTTTGATATGCTGCACTACCTATCTCTTTTCCTTACTATAAAAGCACTTCTCACTTTTGTATTTTGCTGTACACTAAGTAATTCTGTTACATAGAACAGTTAAATAAAATGAATCGCTCTGGATCAAACTCTCCCTCTCTGGATCTCTGTATTCTAAAAAAATTACGAAGTTTTTGAAGAAATCAAAATTAAAAATCATTCTAAAGCCTTTTGTTAAATTTTAATTGTAACTTTAATTAAATAATAGTTTTGTTAAGATACAAAAACGCAAATACACAAAATTTACTATAGGTATATAAGATATTCATATTATACGAAATATCGTACATCGAAATATTGCGAATAACAGAGTAATTTTGGCAACCACACCCGTTTCGAAATATTGAACAATTATGTCTAAGCAATCTATTTTAATTAATTAAATTTACAGATTGGGTTATATATTGGATGACAGAGTAATTTAAATTATTGACAGCCATAATTATTATTTGCTTCATATTACTTCTTCATAGTTCATTAATACGGCAATGGTAAATTATTGCTTCCTGTAAAAGTGTCTATATCTAACTTCGTGTAAAAGACACAATTTATTAGTTTTACATTTAAACTTCTATCGGAATATATTTGTTTTCAATGTTTTCATATAATAATCAAATTATTATTCTACTGAAAAATAATTCTATGTAAATTGATATAAAAACTATACAGCGGACTTACAAATTTGGGACATAACACTGCAAAAAAGCACAAATGTTCTGAAACCATTAAAAATATCCAGTCAATACTTATAGAAATCAAAGCCACCATTGATTAGAACTTCCCGTCATCAGTTTGGCCGATTCAATTGCAGGTTTAGCAATTGATCGCAGCCCACAAGGCTTAAATACTGACATTCAGCAATTCAGTTCGCTATTGCAGTGCCAATTATTCACGTCTATAAAGTTCACACTCATCAGCCTTCGCTTTTTCTCTAATTGTGAACATCAGTTCGGTTCAGTTCAAAAATTTGTTTTTAAACGTAAATTTACAGTGCTAATAACGAATAACAGTTCCTATTTTTCTCATCGTAAATCTTGTATCACATGCATAAACTTCAGACCGTGTAACTTCAATTTACAATGTTTACTGCACGTTGATATCTCTTGAGGATCCCTTTTCCTTGATCAATGTAAAAACCACGAGTATCGGTGTGTCCTATTAAAACAGAATTACTACTGTTCAGCCTACACTACAGCATGTCAATCTTCTTGGTCGCTGTTACATGAGCTATGTGTGCTTAGTGTATAGGAATAAATGTTTCTTCTTGCAGGCTCGGAGCGCTAGCACCAGTAGCTTTAGGAGTGTAAGTCAGGTAATGACAGTACGTAATGACGCTTCTTCACTGCTCATTACCATTGACTGTTTGTTTGTTTGGTTGTTCTGTTGGCAATGATTTCACTCGGTCCCTTTTAAGTGCAAATATTTAAGGGCACGTTACACAAATAAATTTTCGTTGACGTGTAACGTGCCCTACTAAGTATTGGTATTTCCAAAATTAAAGATAAATAACAAACTGGAACTGGTTATATACAACGAAATTATGACTCTTAAGTGTTTATTATCGTATTTGGACGAGATGCGTTCGTCAGCGTCCATATTTATATTTTATAACAGTACGATGCTAGTGCTACGAATCAATAAATCCGAATCATTGCCGACAGTTATGTCATTAACCATGCCCGGTTTATACGGTAGTTTGTTTTAGCTGTAGACGCATCATCATCAGCCGTAGAACTTCTAATCAGAAGGTAAGGCACCCAAAAACATGACTTCATCGTAGTATTAATCTTTAGTCGTACCCTTCAACAAAACATGGAGACTTAAAACTATGGGCAAAGATGAAGGGATATTATTTTAAGGTCCTATTAATTTGTCTTTTTCAAGTTTTTAAGATGGATTCGACTAATATTCAAATTTATTAAATGTGAAAAGCAAATTGTGATGGATTTTGTATGATGTCTAGTTGAATATGAACAAATGAACACTTATACCTTATTTCAGCTGTCACACACTTTTTATCTTCCTTATCTAATGCAGCGTGACATTTAGAAAATGAAATTATGGATGCATTATTCAAAGGAATTGTTATAAAATGTCATTGATGTATGTATTATTGACTGTCCGAAAATCAAATTAGGATTATGCAAGAATGATTTTATTGTCGGTTTTGTTATTTTAGTTTTCATTCATTACACTTGAACAAAAAATCTGTACATTGCATTCACATTTAGATGGCGCATGTTGATTTATCATTAGAGGTTTTTTTTTTACTTTCTTCCTCCTACAGTGTTAATGATTGGATAAAGAACTAAGCAATGACTTAGCGGTACATAAATAAAACTTCCACCAACAAGTCCCCCAACGCTAAGGATGTTCACTGCTCGATTTCAAGACCCTTCTAGGCTATCAGCAGCAGGTCTGAGGAGGATAACATATCTTTTCAGCCAACACTCAGCACAAAGTCAACATGGAACCAAGTGAACACAAATCCCAAGTCATAAAAGTAGAATAATTATTTCAATTTTTATCATACAGAATTTAATTTAAAATTAACTTAAATTAAATTATATTAATTTAAAATTACTTTGATAACTCTGAATATACACCGTTAAGGTCATAAACTTGTAATATTTGACTTATTTCTTATCGCCAAGCCGGAACGTCTGAATTGAATTTAAAATTTTCTTTACAGAGATCTGAAGCATTGGATTGAATTTTAATGTAAACCTCTCTATCCTGGCAATTCCAATATTGTCAGCGACATAGATTTTGACCTTATTCTAAGCCAGGAATAAGAATCACAGATGTATTTATTTGGTACGTTTTTGTTCAGGGTTCCCTAAATAATCCCGGAAGTAGCAATCTGAAATAAACGAAAGGAATAAATCAGCAGACAATGATCCCATCGACAATAGCCTTGCGAACGCGGGGACTCTGGAACTTATGTAAACATCGTCCTATGACCTACAAACCCACTTTTGTTTCGGAGATAAGGAATGAAATATCTCGAGAAGCAGACGCCTTAAGAAATTGTTTTCATTAACATTTTGGCCTAGTCTTGGCATTTATTAATGCACAATAATTGATTTGAAGAGCAGGTGCTTTCAGAGAAATTCTCTTAATTTGTGTGTGAAATAAACAAATTACGAAAGATATTAAAAGCATTCACACTACTAACCCAATTCGAGTGTTATGAAAATTTTTATTATTCTTTTGATTTAAAAACAAGCAGATGTCCAAAGGACGGGCTCAGACTTTATATAAAAACCAGATATCTTTCTCTGAACTACGGAAGTCAGCTCACGTCGACGTCTACGAAGTGGTTATAAATATTTAATCAGCCGGCAGCAGCCACCAGTCCGATTGAACAATTTTCACAGACTCCGTACAAAATCCCGCCTCATTAAGTTACTGCCTTTGCGACAGTTTCCTTATCTCGTGCGCTCTTTCTACGATATCGGCGTTCGCAAATCCTGGCGCAAAATTTTCAAACGTGTACATTTGTTCAGATTTTACATCATTTCGGGAATAACTTAATTTTTATTGTACGATAACTTTGAAGGGCATACGTTTAATAAATTTGGAAAACGATATATTGATAATCAAAACCTTTTAAAATTCAAATGAAAAAAAAAAAATGCATGTTGCTCTCTTTTACTGACTTATTCAACTGATTAAAAAAAAATTATGTTACGTTTGTGTTTTTTCTGCTTATTTATTTTTAGTGTTCCATTTATTTAATTTACGTAATAGATATTTAAATTTAATTTTCTTAATTTAATGATTGTAATGTTTTTTTATCATTCAGAGAAATACAAAGCTTTTAAATTTCTATTTTCGAAATTTATAAATGATAAATTATATGCCATTAATATTGCAAAAAAATTACTTAACGACATTAATGGATATAGTTTACACAGTCCACTTAAAATCATTTTGTCATAAACACCACAGATGGAGAACGTGTCATCTCAAGGCGTGATGCCCAAAAATGAGCTGGAGCATACGAAATACGAAACTATGTGAAAATGTAGCGATTTAACCTAGAGGCGCGAGAAGTCATTTATTAACTGGATGGTATTGCATAAAATGTTTCTATTAACTTCTGTGCCACATATAAACGTTGCCTAATAAACATGTTATATATCGAAAACAATTTACACGTGGCAACGTTTATTACATCCGACTAACGTGGCAGCTCACGTGAATATTTTCCTTTAATCCTCTGCCCGTTAATTTCCATTCGCCCAGTTTCATAAGTAAACACTGCCGTTATTAGGATAGGCACAATATGGAGGCAGAATATGAAGCGATAATTTAGTGCCTCTGTACTATAGAAGGGTGTTTTTTTACTAATGATATGGTAGAAGAACAGCGATGAATTGTTTTAATGCTTTAATAATTTTCTATGTATTTTCTTTTATCCTTTTTAGTCATCTCAACTTTTGGTGTCTTCCTTAATCGCCAGTCATCATTTCCATGAACTCTGAAAAGGTGAATCAACAAGTCATTGAAATATACACGCTATTTATAGTAAAGTGCCTGTCTCCACACTTAAAATAAAACTTATCCAATGCGATTAGTGATTAAAAAAAGTCGGAAAATAGTTTCATGTATAAACATAAATAAATGAGCGATATTCGCGGCTATACAAGAAATCGTAAGATATATAACAACTTCCTTATGGGGGCACTATTAACATCACCAATAAGAAATGATATTAGCGCCATTTAATTTAGTCAGCTCGACCCTGAACAAAGTACACCTGAAATAAGGTACGGCCAATATGTCAGCGCAAATGCTTTACCCCTTTTAGAATAGATCAGAGTCCGGACCATAAGTATACAAAATGCTCCTTAACCATGGAATTAAACAGATAACACAAGCCCCCTTTTTTCGTTAAAAAAGTTAAGGGAATCGTGTCTTGACTTGATAAGTAGCATTTGGTATATAAATTCGATTTTACCATCGAAGTCCACAGTGCCCGAGGAGTCAGTGTCTATCTCAGCAATCATCTCGTTGAGCTGATCGGGCGTGAGTTGGTCATCCAATGCAGCCAGGATCTCGCGCAAGCTTGACGTTGGGATGTATCCGTTACCTAAAATCAAATTTATTTCAGCGTCAAGTACCAGCGTATGTATGTATGTATGTTCCCTGCACGGGATAGAGAATTTTGGGATCTTATGGAAGAGGAGGCAATGGTGATTCAGTTGCTAGTATGTCAATTATATTGATATTAACATGTTCATATGGGAAGTTACCTTTGATTTAGATAGCCCTATTATCGGGTAAGTTCGATTTAACTAAATAAATGTTTGTCTCTCTAAAAATATAATTTTTAGAATCCGAAAATGGAAGATCTAAAAGAATACAGATAATTTACATAGGTGCACTGTGGGATGTTTGGTTGGCGTGACTAAACTTGACGATCAATCTGAGATCGCTTTCCCAAATAAACATGAAAGCAAACTTAAGCAGCTGAACAGTGTAATATTTTTTTCCTGCTTATTATGGGCAATTACTGAATTATTAAATCTATCAATTATAAAACCCTTTTTATCTATTTCGTTGAAGCATTCGTTGAAGAGCAAGGATGCGTCTAGCGTATTTATTAAGAAGAGGAAATATAAATTTACTTTAACAAGAAATGCAACATTATTAGATAAAATGATTATAAGGGTTTTATTGCGTTTAATGTTAGTTTTACTGGCTGACGTTTCGTAGAATAGAAACAATGTCAACAAGAGTCCATGGATATGGGACACAATGAGGTGTTGACATAAAACACGACAGTAATTAATACAAAAATTACAGGTAGTATTACGTTAGCGAAAACAAAATAAGTATAATAAACAACAGTTTCGAGTTCTGTAGGCGTCGTACCAAAATTAATGATTGAAAAGCCGATAGCAGACTGGGATAATTTTTTATAATATTTGAGCATATTCATGATCTTAATATAGAGCATGTGTACGCGTAAGCGACACAGTAGTTTAAATAAAATTTAAGACACAGTTTCATTTTAACAAATGAGAAACAAGCTCGAAATACCTGGAAGCTTCTTTTTCAAGAAAATTACTGCAGTTTATCTTTTACCGGTGGCTAATGCATCGACACCTCGTGAGATCGCTCTTTCACGAAGAGCTCAGAGTGTAGTTTAGTGATCGGCGCCCCTTGTACGATAATTCCACTGAAGAACGCGAAGGATCGGCCTCCGAGATCCATCCATCGTAAGTGGATCATTTACCCATACCATTTGTTTTCGACGTTGGTTCTACTCTGTTTCAGGATTCTATTCTCACGATGATTATTTTTTTTAATTTTTCTACCGCATTTCTTTCCTCTTCATCAAAAATAGCTTCATTGAAAGGAATATAATATGGAATGAATATGTTTTTCGCTGTAGGACACATTTAAGCACCTTTTAGTTATACTTTATTATGAACCGCGTGCTCGAAACCATGGGTAACGATAATCACTTTATGCAACAAAATAAATACTGGAAATTATTACTTTCTATACTTGAAATTATTATTTTGATAGTAAATAAAAACATTGAGAGGTGTCAAGGGACACCCGGATGGAACGAAGTTCCTTTCGATTAATTAGTGAAGCAATTGTAATAAAATAATTAGTAGGCTCAATTTTAGTAATAATTGGTTTGTGGTAATTGAAGTAGGAAACATATGTTTGGGATTCTATTTTATTTAAATGTCTTGCAAAAACTGCATCAATGGTAGTATTATATTTTGTTGTTGATTCTGCTGGATTATTGTTAATTATTAAATCAAATTCTTCCTCTAGAAACTGTCATGTTTGTCTGTCTGACAGTCAAACAACAGACAGAGAAACATGCGCACGCCGCACAGCTTACAATAGCTTACTATAGCAAAAAGTGTCGTTACAACTTTTCGTGAGAATTTTTTCCGTCTAGCCCCATTTCACAACGCGCGATAAGGAACTTCCAAAAGAATAAACGATAAAAATTAAAACCAACGTGGACCCTGTTGTACATCATAACAACTTAGAAGTTATTCGTAAAAGAATCAAATAGTAGGGGCTACGCCTGGCGCGCGGCCAGTGGATCGATCGCTCGCATTCGTTGCGAACAATTACTGTCGAATATTCATTGTTTTCTATTCTCGTTAAATTCAGAAGTGGAATCTGTATATTGTTGTTGCCATGAGAACAATATGAAAGCCAATACCATCTCAATGAGGTTTGGTGTAGCAGTTTATTGTGTTATAACTCGTTATTGCACTAGACTATCCAACATTGTAAATTGTTGCAATATATAAAAATATTGCCTTGCAAATAAAGTACAAAGCAACAAAGCTGTTTTACGGATTTGCCCATTTAGTTTCAGTATTCGTGTAAACATAAAAAAAACAGTTATAAACATATCCTTAGCTGAATCACTAAGAACAGCAGCTTCTTAAATATCTGAGAATCTTTCAATATTTACAGTATATAAAATATCGTCTTTGAATCCCCACAGAATAGATAAAATTAATTACACACGTTAAAAAGTTCCTAAACGCAATATGATATGGTTATTGTAATACGGAAGGCCACGATGCAATTCCTTGTGTTGCGTGAAAGTAGGCAGGCTCGTTCAAGGAAGTACCACATCTTCACAGAAGACTGGCATGAAGTGAAAATATCACAGTTTTATGTTTCATCTACTGAAGTTCTTGGTAAGTTAACCAGAAGGACCTTCAAGGGAAGGCAACTGTATTTTTAATATGATTTACAATATGAGTAGTGGCTTAACATAAGATTCGCTTGTAAGCTTGCTCTTTTCTCTTATAAATGTCTATGTATATGGGGCCGTCCGTAAAAGGAAACAATTATTGAAGAACGGACTTAGGACTCGGGCATAGCCACTAAGATAATACAATTCGAAAAAAATTATTATCAACTAGCGACCCGCCCTAGCTTCCTGCCCTAGCAACCTGAGTTTGATCCTCGGAGCAGGCATCAATGTTAATTTCAATTGCTGAGTCTTTACGTGTACAGCGGTCAAGGAAAACAACTCGAGGAAACTTGCATATTTTCGAAATAATAACAAAAAATATATTTTCGAAGATTGATGTGTGATCCGTGAACTCCGCCAATCCGCAGTGGGGTCTCGTGGTATCTATGCCCCAATACCCTCATTACATGGGAGGCCTCTGTCCAGCGATGAAACATATAAAGGCCTTTCCTTAACTATTTAAATAATCGTTAACATTCGCTAAAATGTACCAAGGAAAATTTAACTTTCCATAGATTTGTCTACATATAACAAACCAGCACTATATAGTACGCCAATAGATTAATCTACAATGTCGTCTTCATCGTGAGGTTTGTAAAGTTTTGTTTCACGTAACAAACGAGATGTCGCGACAAGTCAACAGCTCAGAGGCGTGCTACTTCTTATCACAACGACCCATAAAACGGGGTACTCTGCGGAAATGTACGGAGTCATCTGTTACGCGGAATTAGTGATGGTGTTTTATGACACCTAATAACTTGTTCGCAAGTTATTTCCCGCAATATACTATCTAGGGTAAAACAGTTACTGTTCTTTTCATTTTAGCTACGGCGTAGCTTAGCAAATATCCGTACGTAGCGTGAAAATCACTAAGTGGCCTCTAATTTTTAAAGTGAAAGTTTGCTATGTTATTATTAACATTAATGTATTTTATGTTTTAGCTAAATTAGTACAGGAGAAATTATTGATACACTGTCAAAACAAACTACTTACGCTGTTTTTTATAGAAATATTTGTTAGCTTTTATGTAAATGATATTAAAATATCAAACGTTAAATCAACAAGGCTTTACAATAATGAACATTCTGAATTCTAATCACGTTATTTATAGTATAGTGCTAGTTTTAAACCTGTTTTTTTAATTTTTAATGTATTGTTTATATTGATTTTTCTATGTGAAAAGTTGTCAAACGAGCAGACGGTTCACCTGATGGTAAGTGAATACCGCCGCCCATGGACATCTGCTACACCCTAGGGTTACAGATGCGTTGGCAACCTTTTGAAAATTGGGCTCAGGCTACCTCACTCGCCAGACAAAACGCGAAAGTATTCGTCATACTTCCACTTTACGCTGGTCTTCTGTGAGTTCGTGGTTCTTACCCGGACGGCCTGCCCATTTGTGCAACAGCCGAGGCTGCTGCGTGGCCCTACCGCCGTGGAGACTTAAGACTTGATATTAACAAAAGTTGTCCCACAAAGTTTATGACTTGTGCACCCAAATCGTACCTTCTTTGTCGTACAGCCTAAAAGCTTCTTTAAGCTCTTTCTGTAAAGCTTCATCGTCTTCGTCCAAGAAATGGGTCGCCACTCGTACAAAGGAATCGAAGTTAAGTTTTCCTGAACCTGAAAAGAATTACTTACAATTAAAATACATGATTACATCTAAACTTAAACTTACATCTTGTATTCAAGCGTAAATGTATGTTATTGTAACTGCTTAAATATAATTTTGGTTTCAGTTAAGAATTTTGAAAACATTTAAAAATTCACTATTTAGTCCGAACATTTGACGTCCTAGTATTAATCTTATAAAATTTTACCTAGTGGTATTACAATCTACACTTATTGAAAAGGTTCATCGATATGTAGAATATGTTTATAGTTTCACGTTGAAAGTTGGCAAATGAGTTTGTTATTTTAATTTTATTTAAAACCAAGCTTTTAAACAAAACTAAAAAAAAAATAATAGCTGAAGGTTTATCTGATGTTAAATGATTACCACCGCCTTGTTAAGTGACCAACTTCTAAATTCTTACTAAGGGCAACCCAGTTTATGACTGTCTTCTCTTATAAAATACCTCATATATACTGAGGTTTATTAATGTTCACTGCACATTTTCGTCTACGTCTCCAAAACTGAGTCGTATGTTACCAACGCGTTACGAATCCAATGAAATGATCGCTTAATGCACGTCCTACTTCCTATGGGTTATCGTAAAAGTGTACACTGGGCTCGTTTCCAAGAATGCTGCTCCTGTTAGCGGAACGAATCAATAAAATACACATTACCAGTCTGCCAATTATTCAAATCACCTTGTTTGGGACGACATAAGCTTCCACGACAGTCTACTTTAATGGTCTGAGGTCTGATAATGAAATAGCCTAAAACATTATTCCAATGCTTGTTTGAAATAATTTTCAGTTTCGTGTTAATAATTTTTCTTGAGGTAATTGTATAAAAGCTTAAGTTTCTTTTTTTTTCTGCATGTATACTTTACATATTCATATAAATTTATTCAGATACGTTTTAATTTCCTGCCATTATTGTTGTAAGATCGAGCATGTAAAAAAATTTGAAGTGAACTTCAATCTACTATAGGACAAATAAAGAAAAGAGTCTCTTAATTTTTGAGGGGTCGAAACTATAAAGTAAAACAAATAAATTTGTAGAGTTGTAAGATATATACGAGATAATATGAACCACTTCTTTACAAGGGAATACATAACCCTTTGTTAATTTTGCTTTCCTGTAATCTAGTAAAGATAGTATTAAAGATTTTGCTAATGTGAAAAGTAATAAATTATGGAGCATAAGTTTTCAAACTTGCCCATTAAAATATTTTAGGCCAAGTTTGACTATTTGTTTAAGTTTTCTTTTAGTGGAGAAGTAGCAGTTGTTCGATACATGTGTGGGTCAGATTGTTAATTTTTTAAAAATTCAAAAAATAGTCAAAAGATTAGATTTGAGTTAAAAAGTCACATAAATTAAGAAGTAACTTCAATACATCAATACTTCAATACAAACGATTATGAAAAGGTCGATCCACCCTACTATTATCTAAGTGGTAATTCTATAAACTATGGATTACGACATTAATAAAAAGGATAAGGAGTCAATTTATAAATTGGAAATCCTCTTGTCATATGTACAATTGTACATAGGTGACTCATCTTGCAATACATGCAGATACAAATTAACTTAAAGTTACCCAACTTAACAACTGAAGTGACCTCTAAGTAGCAAACTCATGTAAGTCTTCTCATTTAACTACAGCCACAATGATCCTTTTATTGCCAGTCTGGAAGCCTCATTTATCCCTGGAGGAATCGACTAAGGCCTTAAATTGCATTAAGAACTTGATTGCAATTCTTTTTAACAAAATATTTGCTACAAACAAACTTTAGAGCATTTATAAAAAATTGTTTTAAAACCTGTATACGTGTATGTAACCTGTAAGTACTATATATTTCGCTAGATATCCGTTTTAGGTATCTAATAAGTGAATGAAGGAACTGCATAGTTATACTTGTTAATCTTCTATATTATAAAGAGGAAAGATTTGATTGTTTGTATGTATTGAATAGGCTCCGAAACTACTGAACCGATTTGAAAAATCCTTTCAATGTTGGGAAGCTACATTATCCCCGCTTGATATAGGCTATATTATATTTTAAAAAAAAATAGGGATCCTTACTAAAACTTCAATAATGTAACATAAAGTGTACAAAAATTACCTAAAATATTCTTTACATCGCGTGCGAGGCGAAAAATATTGATGATAGAATAAAATAATGTACTACGAATTTGCAGAACACATCATTATTTCCAAAAAGTGTCGCGAGAGCATATGTCTAACTATTATGGTTATGCCACAATAAGTGTTCTTTTATTTTAAAATTTTGATTAAAATGCCGCCGCTAGAAAAGGCTCTTTATTTGTATCTTGGTATTAATCCTTATAAAAATAAATTACTTCATATTAAAGACTGTTTCAATAGCTTTATGTTACTTTTCGAATTATTAAAAGATCACAAGTTTAAAAATGGTAGTATTTTGTAATTTAACTATACAAACAGCTGACTTAGTAGTTCTTATAATTTTTCAATTACATTTATAGTGGTTATTCCTGTTCAACAGTTTAATTTATTTTATCATTTTAAATTGCCCAAAAGGTCAAGATCTCATCTTTCTAGAAATAGTTCCCAGGCGAGTTCAAAAATACGTCGTAATGAGGAATCTTTACCGGAAAGTGTAAATCGTCTTACAAGTCAGAGAGAGTAAAGTAGAGCGGCTTAAATAATATAAATATACAAATTCACACTCGGGAATCGAGCTCTGAGCGTTCCCAACGCCTACGAGATGAGAGAGAAAGACAACAAACGTCAACGATTAGAGTTCGTAATCGACTTTTAGCTCACAGTAACAGATCAGCATTAATGCATTAAGCTCAACAGTTTTCCGTCCAAATCGGAGCAATGAATAAGATCTGCTGTAAGTGTTCTGCCAAAAAATGGGTCGATGAACCAAACGGTATGTGATGTGCTTCTGGAAAAGTTATTCTCCCCAATATTGAGGAGCACAGCCAATAAAAATCTTTTGACAAATAATCAATCACCATCTGGACATTTTTAAGCAACATCCGAAAGGGCAATAGCCCTTCGTTTGACGCGAACTTTTAAAATAGAGGGACAAGTATACAAGACACAACAATCATCATCCTCCTGCCTTCTAGGTGGGGTCGGCACAACGTGAATCATGTTGTTAGAGGTTTTGGCTATATTTTTACAACCAGCGCCTGCCTGACGTCAACTATCCTTGGGAAACAAACACCCAGATCAAATTTCAACTGAGTAACTATAACGGTTCATGAGATACAGCCTATTGACAGAGGGACAAACAGACAGCGCAGTCTTAGTAATAGGGTCCCGTTTTACCCTTTGGGTACGGAATCCTAAAAAGGCCCCAGAGGTATAGTGTTTCACGGTAGACACGTCCAACTTAAAAGGGTCTCTGAGTTACACCGATTGTATAATCCACTAAAATATTCCTTAATAGTCGTAATAGGAGAAGACGGTTAATATTTGACTATTCCTCGGCAAGGTACAAAACTGTGACATGCATGGAATTTTATGCATTTAGGTTGATGGTTAGAGCTACCTGTTCTAATCCATTGCATTATTATTGGGACTTATTAGGGTTCCGTACCCAAAGGGCAAAATCATAAATCCGCTGACTGTCTGTATGTCCGTATGTCTGTCCATATGTCACCAGGCTGTTTCTCATGAACCTTGATAGTTAGACAGTGGAAATTTTCACAAAAGATATATTTCTGTTGCCGCTATAACAACAAATAGATACTAAAAAACAAAAACGTATAAATAAGTGGGGCTCCCATAAAACAGACATGATTTTTTATCGTTTTTATAGATAATGTAAGTGTAATACTTCTATACTTCTATTGAATAAAGGTATTGAAACATGATTTTTTTAATGTGATAGAGTGGCAAACGAGCTGCCGGTTCCTCTGATGTTAAGTGATAACAACTAAAAAAGCCAACATTTAAAAAGTGGGCCCCGGCTACCTCTCTCACCAGACGAAACGTAGAAGTATAACACTTCTATTTTACGCCGGTCTTCTGTGAGGTCGGTACGGAACCCTTCGTGTGCAAGTCCGACTCGCACTTGGCCGATTTTTATTCAATACATTGTCGATGTGATGGCAAAAAGATATCAGAAAGATTGAATTACATAATTATGATGTCGTGATCACCAGAGACTGAGGGCTGGTGAAACATTCATCTTAGAGACGCCTTAAATCAAGACATTGGCCAATCAAATATCGGTCAACGCGTAATCTGCAACGTCATATTCATGTACAGGTTTTCCTACTTATCTGCATTAAAAAACCAAAGATGCGATGATTTATGTCCGAAGCTATGGGAGACCAAACTTATTTGTCACCTTTACGTGTAACCTCGAATGTCCCGTAATTAAAGCGGAACCATTATCTGGTCAGCGGTCTTTCGATCTTCATGACGTAATTTCAAGGGTATTTCATTAAAAGATGAAGAAATTCATAAAATTATTCACCAAAGACGAAATATTCGTAAGGTTTTATGTGTGTGTATGATAACTTTTTGTTAAATACCCGTGCGAAGCCGGGGCGGGCCGCTAGTAAAAAATAAGCACAAGAAAAGACTAAATTGACTAGAATACATCAATTAAATATGAAAAATAATTCAGTCGTGCTAACTTTTTATTAATTGTTTTGCGTTTACAGGTATTTAAAACCTTTTTCATAATTGCCACTGTTTTATTTTTATCTATTTTTACTAACTTTATTTAATTTTGACTTTATTCTATTTTTCTATAGCCATTAGTGGCTATATATTTACGAACGAATATATTTAGGCACGTAATTGCAGTCATCATCGTTTATTTCTTCAAGTGAGTCATAACAGTCTACTCACTTACTTGTTATACTAACGAGTTTTAAAGTGAGTAGTTATAAAATCATCTAATTCAATTATTAATAATAATAACTTAATTATGCTTGTTTTTATAATTTTTACCCAACTTAAGCTTGCTTAATACTCCCCTCGGTGTTATTCCCAAATTGCATT